TTGAAGTCCACATAGCTTAAAAGTTGCTGAGGTTGAGAAACACTGTTCTAGGAGCTTCCTGTCCTAGCAGCCCTCCCCACGTTACAGCTGCATCATAGCATTTTTGGGATTCAGTTAGCTGCTTTCTCTTCTAGATCGGTATATCGTGATTGGAGCTCAGCGCGATGCCTGGGTAACTGGAACAGTGAAGTCCGGAGTTGGTACAGCCCTGTTACTGGAGCTGGCCTACGTCCTCTCTGAGATGGTGAAAACCGGTAAGGCTTTTGAGAGAATGCAACAACAGGAAATAAGTCTATTGTTTTTTGGGGGCAGAGCTGAACAGAATAGCTGTTTCTTCTACACTTTTCAGATGGCTACAAACCCCACCGGAGCATCGTCTTTGCCAGTTGGAGCGCTGGAGAATTCGGAGCTGTTGGTGCCACAGAATGGTTAGAGGTAAGAGTTTTTTTTTTTTTAAATTCAAATTTAAAATACTTTTATGGTCCATTTCAGGATACGCTTGTAGAATAGTTTACAAGTCCCACTTTTTTTTTTTTTTTAACCATCTCAGGGCTACGCTGCCTCACTGCACTTGAAAGCGTTTGCTTATATCAACCTGGATGGAGCCGTTTCAGGTAAGTTTCCATGATGCTAAGTAAAGGTTTGAATCATGCAAAATATCTGACGGCCTGATGGCTTGAAAAGCAAGAACGGAGAAATGGCAGCAAGCAAGTCCGTTCTCCGTTCTCTGCGAGTGCCCCTAACACTCTCAGCATTCCAGTTGTGCTCTCTCGGGCCCCGTGCTTAGTTGAATGCCATGTAGGGAGAACATTTTGTGCTTGGTCTTCCTTTGCTGCCATGGCTGACTTGCTGAAATGCAGTTACTATGGGGCCAGAGTGCACTGGAGAAGAAAATATTAGCTCTTGTTCCAAATCTTGGTCCCTCTGGAGAGACCTTACACACGGGAAAGAAAGGGGCTTGAACGTTGAAATCCTTCAAGGGCTTCTGCTGTAATCATGCAATGGTTTTGCTCTGACTGTCCAGCAGAGCACAACCTAGTTTCCATTTGTCCCTAAAAGGGCAGCTGCTTAAAGGACTATAATATACTCGGTCCAGCAGAAGGGGCAGGTTGCAGACCCCACCAGTCAAGAAATTTCGATTGGTGGGGTCTAGGCAGAGAGGTTGCAGCGCCCACCCTATGGAGCATCCTGCCTCCTGAGGTGCGGTGTGCCCCCTCCCTCGTGGCCTTCAGGAAAGGGATCAAATCCTGGCTCTTTCAGAAGGCCTGAGGGCCAGAG